CCTACATTTTAGAAAACTTTTATCCCTAAAGGATGCTAAATTCAGATTCACCTTCACTCTCTATTGACTTAACAAGATTTTGTTCTTCATTTTGTTAATGTGCCATATTGTATTGATTTTATTGCCATTTCCTCTTTTCTATCTACCTCCACCATTTTATTTATTATTTAAATATCACAATTTATATGCCAATATTGTTGCATGATATGAATTAAGTTGTAGTGCTGACATAAATTCACATAGGCTTATGAACACCTAAAGAGGACCCAACACAAAACTATGCATTCACACTCAATTGATTTTTGACAAATTTGAAAGAACACAAAATGGAACAAAGGAATATGCTTTAAAAATTGTTTTAGGAAAAGCAGACATTAACCTTCAAAAGAAGAAAGTAAGAACAACATACAATATATTAAAATAAATACAACATATGAAAAATATAAAAGTGATACCTGGAAACGTATACTAAGGAGGACTCATAGGGAAAACTCTCAATAACACTGATGTGGGAAAATATTTTTGGTTACAACTTCAAAAGAATCAGTGAAAATATAGTTAAAATTTTATCAAACTGAAAATCTTGCGAATAACAAAGAAAATTGTCAAAAGAATGAAGAAAGTGCTACAAAATTGGAGGTAATATTTGCATAAAAAGATGATCCTTTAATACCCAAACTATATAAACAACATAAATAGCCCATTTGAATGGTAATATGCTGAAGAAATTGGCAAGTAATCTGAAGAGACATTTCTGAAGTGAAGACACCCAAGTGGACATCACCTATATGAAAAATTGTTCAGCATGACTTACTAAACAGTAGATGCCTATCAAAAATCTCAATAGAATCCTTGTCATAACTGTTAAAATGGAAGGTGTCTTAGTTACTTTTTACTCGTCGCTGAGACAAAATACCTGAAGCCCAAGTTGGGAAAGGAAAGATTTATTTCTTACTGTTTTTGGAGGTTTCAATCCATACTCAGTTAGCTCCAAGGCAGGGTGACATGGCTGGGCCCCAGGTCATGATGGCTGCAAACAGCAAACAGGAACCAGCAAAGAGCAAGACACACCTTCTTCCTGCCATTACATCACATCCTGGCTCCACCCCTATGTGGGTGGAGCACTAACACCATCAATCCAAGCACTAGACAATGAAATGCACAAATGCACAATGCAAACTCATGAGGCCTGGGGGACACAGACATAAACCATGACAGAAGGTATTTATGCATAAAGACATATTATTCACAGATAGGATGAAGTAAGAAGAGAAAAAAATATAATCAACTTAGAGTAAATGGACAGAACGGAATTCCTCAGGTTAACTCTAGTACTGATGCTGACTGGAAGGGAGAAGAGGAAAGGACTGGTGGCCAGAGTGAGAGCAGCGGAGAAGGTAGCAGGGAGGGCGCTGTGATCAAAGTATGACGTACGTTTGTGTGGAAATTGTACAGTCTGAAACACTGAAGTTAAGTAAAATAAGGCAAAAAATGTTAAATATGGCACGGTTTCTCTTATCTTTCTTAAGAAAATGTAAGTATTAATAATTCAAAGCAAAATATGATGATAGGAATGAGGGACATAGACCTTATGCAGATGTAGAGGGGATCTAGGACAGGGAAAGGCTGAGATGGGAGTATAACGGACTAAGAGTCAGTGTGTGTATGTCCCATATCCCTATGATCATTGTGCTCACCATGTGTGACCAATATGCAGGCTTGGTATCTGACTATTGGCTCTCTGGTGTAAGTGTGACTCTCTGGTGTAAGCCCTCTGGAGGGATGGTGAAACTGAAGACCAGTGTCCAAAAGCATTGGTAGAGACTGGAGCTCTTGCAAAATGAGAGCACTTCACTTTTTCTCTTTTTATTCTGTCCTGGAGACAAACTTCTGTGACTGTTCCATCCACATCAGGGTTGGGTACTTCTACTTCAGTTTTCTGAGGCATATGTCAATCATCTACAGTTATATCTGTTGATTTCCTAATCTACAAGGTGGTTCTTACTCAGGTCAAGCTGACATCACAATCAACAATCACAACATGGAACCATATTGTGTCTGATATTAGACGAACTGGTGAGGAAAAAGTGGCACATCTACATAATGTAATACTAATCAGCCTTTAAAAAGAAGAAAATCCTGGCATTAGCTATCATGTAGATAGATGTTGAAGACCTTGTTTTAAAAGAAATATTCAGGCATAAATAAATAAACAATATTGCATTAAATTACTGAAATGTGAATGCTTAAGAGTTTAGCTCTGAACAAAATGGTGACTACCAACTGTGAGTGGGGACATTAGGTGGGCATTAGTGAAAAGGCATTCATTTAAGTTAGATAAGAGAAATAACTAAAAGGTATCCCTTTATATCATAATGAATATAGTTAAAATAAATTGTATACTTGAAAACAACAGAATGATCTTATAAAGAAAAAGGACAATATGTCCAAAATATGCCTCATATAATGTGTAAAGACATCCAAAATGTACATAAGTCAGAAATAAAAATATGCAGTAGATAATAAGAAAATAAGAGGTATGTAAAGTATTTATCACCAGAAGATACATTAATTGTCATAAAGCATACATGGAGACATTTAATTAATCCTATGGTAAATGAAAATAAACAATTCAGTCATAAAAACTGATATGCAACCCAATGAAATGAAATGATAATATGATTTCATTTGCAAGAAAATTGAGAGAAGTGGGAGCCATCCTGCTGAGGGACATGACACTGATGTGGCAAATGGCACATGATTTCCCTACTTTAACGATTCTAAAGAAGTGACGAGAAAGTAAAATCAGAACTATGAGACAAGAGGAAATAAGTAAGAGGGAGAATACTTATTAGGAACAAAATATTCAGTACACACTGAATCCCCCTCCCCAACTGTGAAGCTGGGCAGGGGCGGGCATGCAGAAGGATGAGGGACACGACAACGATGGAAGTGTAGAAGGAAACACCAAAAACAAGCGTAAAATACAGTGCAATGATGTATCATTCTGTATAAACAAGGATGCTGTGATTCCTTTTTGTTTTACGTAAAATAAAGCAATAACAAAATGCTAAGAGAATATCAATAGTTAGTAAACCATGTATCATTATTTTCAAAGTATTTAGTAGACAAGACTTATACAGAAAAAGATTCTCTCTGACAAAGATGAAACAATGTCATAAGACTGTGTTTTCTGTGAATTAAGAGAAACTAGTAGCATAAAAACAGCATATATATACACACACACACACACACACACACACACACACACACACACACCATGGAATAAGTAATTTAGGAAATTGAAATTCCATCTATTTCCTGTGTTTCATACATGTGTGTGTGTGTCTCTTTTAAGACAACATTGTAATATTTGAACTTTGTGTCTGACTTCACTTAATTTTATGCTCTTAAATTATATCAATATCCCTATGAATGCCTCTTCGTGACAGAGAAGTATTCCACTGTGGATAAAGACCATAATTTCTCTATCGCTTCATCTATTGGTGGCCATACATGCTGTTTCCAAGATCTAGCTGTTATAACATATGCTACTATAAATGCGGTATGCATCTATCTTGTACCATGATGATTTTAACCTTTTTGAAAAGATACCTAGAAAAGGGATAGCTGGGTCAAACAAAATTGTTAGTTTTAGTTTTTTAAGAATCTCTTATTGCTTTTTAAAGGAGGAAAATGATATAATTAATCTGGATATTGTAATGTGACAAGTACAGTGGATATAGAAAATGTCATCCACTTTAAAAACTGGTGACCTGCAAAAAAAATCATGTAATTTCCACATGATTACAGTAGCATGCCTTCTCCCAGGTAGATTTCTAAGATGGAAAATGCTTGCTCAAACAAGAAATATGCATAAAAATCCATATCGGTATTTACGATAGCTAAAATACATGAAATATTTTAATCCATAACAATGCATGAAAACACATGGTGTGTATGCAAGTATGGTAGAATGTTATTCAGTCAGAAAAGAAACTACAGGAGTCAAAAATAAGAAAAAAGGAAAGGAGAAACTGAAAAAAGAGACGAAGGAAAGAAGGAATGAGAAAATAAAGGGAAAAATAAGAAGGAAAAGTGGAAGAAAAGAATGAAGGAATAAAAAAGGAGGTGGAGAAATGTGGTTGAATGAAGAAGCTAAAAAACAGAAGATCCCAGAAAATACAGCCATATTTCAGGTTTGGTCTTGGAATGGTGTCAGTATGCATCAAATGAGCAAACACTCTTTGAAGAATAATTTTCCTATAAAAATCCAATCACTGTTTTTACAAAACACAATATACCAATTTTAAGGGTAAAATCTATGTCAGTTCACTAACAAGTGTAATAAACTACCTTCACGTCAGTCTCCTCATTTGAGAAATGAGATAAATTAGAGAAAATATCTCAGATATTTTCGGGATTAAATGAGACCAATAAACATAACTTGTATGATGAGAAATTTAACTAGACTACTGAGTTATTTTTATTGCATTTCTTCCAAGTAATACAAGAACAAGATCAAATTAAGGTGAAAATCATTAACACTGAAATGTTACAAAATAATTTTATGTAATTGGGTACAGTGTGATACTTTGATAAATGTACACATTTTGTAATGATCAAAACAGGCTATGTAACATGTGCAGCACCTAAATATTTATTATTTCTTTCTTTTGATAAGAATATTTAAGATTATTGAAGAGATAAAGTTGGAGAACATCAAGGCAACGCTGACTATATTAGGCACATTAAAATGAAATTAGAAATATCACAAATACCTCTAAGTAAACAGATCAAAGATGAAATATTAAGAAACATGAGAAGGGAAGAAATAATTTTAATGAGAAGGCTGTTAAGAAACAAATGAAAAGTCATATACACAAATGTCATTTGCAAGTGTTCTTACAGACAAAATGACACATAGATTTTTGGAGAATACAAAGAACAAGATTATTAAAATTTCAGATATTTGCCTTTTAAAGAGATACAAAATTCCCTTAAGTTTTAAGGTCAGTGGTCCATCCAGGAAAACAGATTGTCCTGCTGAGTAATCTGCCCAGGGCCCTCTTCACATCCTTGTTCCTCAGGCTGTAGATGAAGGGGTTCAGCATGGGGGTCACCACAGTGTACATCACTGAGGCAGTCATGCTTGCCTGGGAAGAAGGAGTGAATGTGAAGCTAAGGTATTCTGCAAGGCCTGTCCCATAGTACAAAGACACCATACACAGGTGAGACCCGCAGGTGGAAAATGCCTTAGACTTGCTTTCAGAAGAAGACATCCTCATTAAAGAGGAAACAATCCGAGAGTAAGAGAAGAGGATCCCGGTGGCAGGAAACACACCCAGCAGGACAGTTGCTACATACAAGACAGCATCATTGATGTGGGTGTCAGAGCTGGCCACTTGGAGCAGAGCAGGCAGATCACAGAAGAAATGTAGGATTTCTGTGCCTCTGGTGAAGGTTAGATGCAAAATCAATAGAAGGTGCATCAAGGCAACCCAGAAAATGATGAACCAAGACACCAGGATGAGGAGGACACAGAGCTGGGAATTCATGATAATTATGTATTTCAGGGGGTGGCAGATGGCCACAAAGCGGTCATAGGCCATCACTGTCAGGAGGAAATTATCCATTCCATCAAAAATCATAAAAAAATATACCTGAGTGAGACATTCAGTGTAGGAGATACCTTTGTTCTGTGCCTGGATGTTCAGCAGCATCTTTGGGATGATGGTGGAGGTTAAACAGATGTCCACAAAGGACAGGTTGGAGAGGAAGAAGTACATGGGCGTGTGGAGGTGGGAGTCAGAGCTGACGGCCAGAATGATGAGCAGGTTCCCAATCACTGTGAGCAGGCACACGGACAAGAAGAGCGAGAAGAGGGCGGGTTGCAGGGCCGGATCATCTGAGAGGCCCAGCAGAAGGAACTGTGCTGTATGTGAGTTGTTCTCTCTTTCCATGTGTCTGCTGTAACTGGTGGAGCGGAAGACAAAAGCACTGTTTAAAGAGCACAGAACCAGTCCGTTCATAGTTATCACTGCACTCCGCCACCCTGGATGGATGCCCTTCACCGTCCCCTGGATCCTGCCAGAAAGGGTGACACACTCAGCCCCGTTATGTTTCCATTTTCCAATTTAACTCTCGATTCTTATTTATGTTTGTTTTTCTTTAATTTTCTGTGGAACTGAGGATGGATCCAGGGCCTTGTGTTTGCTGAGCAAGTGCTCTACTACTGCAGCATATCTTCCGCCCTTCTGATTCTTATTTTTTCAGTTTTCAAATAGTTTCTAATTAATTGCCCAAGCTGGCATCAGCCTTGGGGCCCTGTTGTCTTAGCCTCCCATGTGCTACCTTTCTCTTTATTTCTACAGTAACCCTTCTATTTTGTCAGATTCACTAGTTTTCATTTTACTATGTAATCTATAGACCTAACAAATTTCCTCTGTTATGACTGATGAAAATAATGACCACAGCTCATATATTTTTGACTTCCCTATGTTTCTTCATACGAATGGCTCTTTAATGTATGGGTTTTTTCAAGCAAGCTTTTTTCCTGCAATGACACTTCCTAGCCACGTAACAGTTTACTGTCAACACCTTTGCTTTCTCCCTAAAAATGTGGCTACTGCTACTATGTCATCTGTGATACTTAAAAATGCTCCTGTACAAGTAGGATCTCAATAAATCTTTATTACCATTGTTGTAATTATTATTAAAATTGTTGAAATTCTCCCCTAAAATACATTGGTTTGGACGTCTGTCTTAAAGAATTGTATTGCCTTAAAAAGTTGTGTTCCTTTTAAAAATTTATTCTTGTTTTATTTCTATTGTTAATTTTCACTTTTACAGGTACACATGTGACATGTATCTTCATCATACTCATCATAAGGAATTTATACTCATGCCTAACATGTCTTGGCTATTTCTCTCTCCCTTCCCCTCCCCACTCTTCTGAACCTTGGGACCATACTTTTAAATGAAATAAACCATTCACGTAGGCTTCAATGTCACATTATCTCTCTTGTATTATAGAACAAAAGCATAAATAAGGGCCAAAATGCACGTTAGATATTGGGAACTAGAAAAAGATTTTCACATAAGAAAAAGAACAAGGGAGGAAGAGGGAAACGGAAAGAAGGGAAATTAAGTCAGACTTCAGTGAAAGTAATTTTTCCATCTTTTTAACATTTTTGTGACCCTAAGAATGTTATTTAATTCTATTATTCAATTGCAAATACCTCACCTCTGCATTATGCTTTGTAAATGTGTAGTGAAATGTTACAGTGTAAAATTAATTGATATAACTCAAAAGTTTTCTACTTTGATTCCCATAAAATGTAATTGACATTTCAAAGTGGGAATTTCTGTTCATAATACAAAAATAAACCTTTCTTGCATGGCTATCATTTATCAAACCTCCCTTTAAACTGGGATAAACATAAGGAAAACAATGTGATTCTTTTTTTTTTTTTTTCTGTACCAAAAATCAAACTCACAACCTCGCACTTGCCAAGAAAGGGCTGTGCCAAGGTGCTCTATCTTTGGCCCCTAATTGTGATTCTAGTTAGTCTAATATTTTTATTTTTATTAGTACTTCCTTGAAGTACCTGATGCCATTCGTCATGGTGAGTTGGTACAAGCATGTAACACATCTTAATTCATACAAGCACAACAGTCAGATTACTACATTTGACCACTGTGTATCATTTCTGATTGATGTAGATCTTTAAGGCACCCTAAATCAGAGACTACCCAATGAATTCTTCCAAGAAGAGGAAGGAATATGTGTACTATATAGGTAGAAGTGAAAACAATGCACTAACATTAAAATTAAATACAAGACATGTATGAGAGTCTGTTCTCATTCATGCATACATTTGAGGGTGGATATAGTTTGTCAAAATTGTAAGAATTCATTGCTAATACATATGTTTGATGGACTAATTGATAGTATTCCAGATGTATATATCAAAGAACCTAAAATATTAAAAGACAAATGTAAACATTAAGTCAAAGAACCTAAAATATTAAAAGACAAATATAAACAAAAATACACATGTATAATTTTTATGCTAGGATAGGATCAATATTATTATTGCCTACAACATGAAAATTACCAGAGACTGAAAAAGGAACAACTTATTGTGGGGTGTGGAATGTCATGATCTTCTGTAAGATAAGGAAATTCTGAATGAGACGGGAAGAAATCATTGTTAATAAGAGAAATTAAGTGCAGAAGAAACATTCTAGGCTGAGAGAACAGAATGTGTAGTTTCCCTGTCGAGTGAGAGCTTGGTATAAGATGAGGACGAGAAGCCAGCATGGTGCAGAGCAGAGAATGAGGGTCAGGTCCAAGAGAGTTCATTTTCTATTGATTCCTTGCCACGTTGGTAAATTAATGTTTACTTTAAGACAGATGTCTTATATCAATATGATTTTTCTGGAATTTTTAGTGGATTTATATGATACCTGTTATGTTATAGACACTGTAGAAAACAAATGTTTAAGTGTAAGTTCACTACTGAGACAAAAAGATAAGTATATTATGAACAGTCTTCCAGCTTTTCACATTCTTGACTACAGATGACAGGCACAGTAATAAAATTAAATGAAATTCATTCACCTGTGTCAGACAGCTGGAGTATGGACTAAAGGTAAAATGTTTCTCTGGAAAGTCATTGGTTACATTTCAAGCATCACAAACAAAAATTAAAAATACAATGAATATTTAATTCAATTAGAGAAATGGAAGCCGGTTTGACATAAGGAAGTTTGAAAACTGACTCAATTACAGAAATCAGCCGGTGATGACAAATAACTGTATTATTAAAATCTGAAAAAGTATAACAGGCACAACTGTGGTTAATGACCATGATCAAGGCTCTCTATAAATGAAGAAAACCAAAGGCGTTTTCATAATTCAGCAAAGACTAGAAATTTCCAAATCAGTGAATAGAAGATCATTTGTGACCAATACATTAACGTGAACAGAGAAGTCCTTCTAAAACTTTACTTACTAATATTTTACTGAACATTTAAGTAATTTAGTAAAATAGGAGGAGAGAGAGATGCCATATGGAAGTATTGGGCTCAGGAAATAATCACCATGTTACACATGTTGTAGACACTCAGGTAAAATGGTGACAGGAATACTGAAAAATGTACAAGACACAGTAACATCTGCAAGAAAACTTTGGAACTATAATAGTAAAATCTAATCAAATATACAAAAGTTTAGGCAATACCTTATATGTGATTGAGCTTCAGCAGGAAGATAAACAACAAATAATCAAATTTGGAAAGTTTAATTTATAGGAAAGAATAAAGTGGTGGAGACTCTTGAAAAGTTAATTCTTGTTGGAAATAGGCAATAGATTCTGGAGAATAAAGGAAACAGAAAAATGACCACATAAGAGCAAGCTCAATGAACATGAGTTTCTTCAAAATACTGTAGAACAGTCTCACCTCAGACTCTCTCTTCTCATTCTAGAGTCAGAACCGCATTGCTTTCTCGGTGCTCCACTTTCCCCTTTGGGACGCACCACGTTTCTCACATGGCTGCCAGTGAAGCTTTCTTCTCTCACTATCTGTACCTGGAAAGCCATCTGAATTTTCTTGGAGACCGAATGAGAGAATGACAGGTAAGGGGCACCTGGGATGTGTTTAAATTGTCCGCCGTGGGAGGGATTGAACTCTCACAGCTCCTTGATTGCAGTCCCATGAGGTAGAGAGCATATACAGGATGAAACATTTCAGTAAATGATGTGTCAGTGTAAAATGTTAAGGGAGATGAAGTAATGGCCTCTAAGGAAGACGCACTTTTTTTCTTTCCTTTGATCTAAATGTCATATAATCTCCCATGAAGAAAGTTTAATTTCAGCAAAAAGAAAATCCCAAGCACCATTTCTTTATCATATGCCTCCCTTGGTAACATTGGTAACATTTGCAGACTTTGTTTATCTTTTTATCTCCACAATGTATATCTTCATGGAGTTTTTTTTATTTCATTCACTATCATTTTAAAGATTTCCATTGTGTTACTTTTGAAGTCCTCTATTTCAGTGTCTCCTGTACTTGCTCCTGGTGGATTAGATGTTTGAGACTGCATTTTGCTTTTTCATTTTGCCATTTTCCTTTTTTGAGTTAATATTTGGTCTTTCAATCCCACTAGTGGCAACTGTTGGTAGTGTGCATCTTGGGGTCCTAATGTAAGGTTGATATTTGTACAGTTGCTGGGTCCCACAATGAAGAGGCAGGCCAGTTACCTGACATCCACCTGCAGGGCCTGTTGGGTGAGTCCTATAGTCTTCCTGGCTGACAAGCCTAGTAGTGTTGATGTAGGTCAATTTTAGTTCCTGCTATTACTTTATCTTCAGATTATTCCAGGTCACAAAATCTCCCTGTCTATAGTGTTTGTGTCAGCTGAGGCCCTACTGAGTCCCTATTGTGTGCCTGAGTATCTCATAATCTCTTTTGATTTTCTCCACTTTGAGGGAGTCCTTGTTGGCACACTCTTCACTCTGCCTGATGGTTTTTTTGTGTGTGCAGGAAGGAGTCACCCACACTCTTGCCAGACTCATCAAAGTCTGACAATTAGTTGGTGTGAGCTTTACTACTGGCCCTATTTGCCCAATGTACACCTCTATTTTACGGGCACACTCACCACACTGACTGGAGCCTGCTGAAATCTTCTCTTTGAGTGAGGCAGTTACTGAATCCCCCTTCAAGCTAGCCCAGTTAATCCGCTGTAGTTCAAGGTTCTGGCAGAAAGAGTGGGAGCTGAAGGTCAAAAACAGTATTAGGTCCAGGAGGTAGAGTGTCCCCGAGGGGTCAGCAGATGTCCTGTGTCTGAGTGTCTGCTAGGCATAGACCAAGGTCCCAGGTCAGCATAGCTTTCATTAGTGCTGACTGGAGTTGTGTTGGAAGTGGGGTGCTTTGCAGGTCAAGGTCTGAGGGCAGC